GTTTTTACTACATGGTATACTACTTTCTAACTCTTTCTTGATCCATCCCGTGGTTTCATTAACACCTTTCTGATCCAATTGTTACTTTCAACATCTTTTATCTCAAGTGTTTATAATTTAAAGAGAATAAGAGCCACATATGTACTAGAGAGAGTAACAACTTGTTTAGGACAGGGTGAGTTAAAGTAACACTGGCCTGGGACTCAAAGAGTTAAATACATTTCGTGTATAAGATGCCCCCCCCCCCTTTTTCCCCCAAATTTTAAGTTTAATAAATCTGGGAAACTAATCTTATACAGGGGAAAAATACAGTATTTGCAACAACAATAATTCAGTCTTAAATAACCACCGGATCATTATCACAAGATCATTTCTTCTTCTTCTTCCTCTTTTTCTGTATTTGCCATTAAAATGGCAGTTGGCACACTGTGGTTCACAGACTGGCTGTGATATCTGCACCTGTTGGCCAAAAACATTTGGATTTCAGCAATAACAGCAACACAAAAAATTTCGTCTTTTGCAACATGGTTGTCAGTGGGCAGTGTGGCTACTCTCTCCCACACCACCCACTCCTCCCTCTCCCTCGAAAAAGAATTTGGCCCCAGAACCAGCCTCAGGGATTATTTGTAACCAAAAATACAACCCTGGAAGAAACATAGTAAATAGTGTTTTGAAGGACTTGTAGCAACAATAATTCAGTTTTAAAAACACCTAGATCATAATCACAACGTCATTTGATTACAACAGCTTTGTAACTGTTTCATTACATGGAAATATATGTGTGTGCAAATATGTGTGTGTATAATATATATATATATATATGTGTGTATGTGTGTGTGTGCATACATATGTGTGTGTATGTATGTGTGTGTATTTGTGTGTGTGTGTATACATCCTTTATGTCATGGCATGGGGCTGTCAACATCCTTTTGTCATGGCATGGTGTGTTGTGGCAGCTAACAAACTTCCACATGCTGCTGACAATTGCAGTTTGTAGACAGGCATGATTGCCCACGCTAGTTGACAAGGCACCCGATGATGATGGATGTATGTTACCACAGTGAATGTCACTGCACACTGAGCATTCCCCTACATGCTCAGTCCTCCTATGCAGCAGCCATTCCAAGGTATCTTTACTAACTGTTCCCATGAGGAGTTGGTTATGTCTCCTATCTAGGCCTGGACAGCAGCACAGACATGCATCCCCAACTGACACCTGAGGGGGGATGCTGCCAACATCAACCCAGCCACCGTTACTTCTGTACCGACTGCTGAAGACGGGGATAGAACATTTATGAGAATGCTCTGAGTGCTATGATGTTGGTTATTAAACTTGTAACCTGCTTTCTTCTTCTTCTTCTTGTGACAACTCTTTGATTTACACCAACAAACAAGTTCTTGTGATAAAATTGACTTTGGATTTCCTTTTTAGTCCTATACAACTCTGGATATGGACGGCATTGACTCACTGGGCCAGTATTCCCTTCCTAATGGCCAGTATTCCCTTCCTTATAGGCTGTACAAGGGGCAGACTTGCAGGACATGTTCTACAGTATGCACACACAGCCCACATGGGCACAATGGTGAACTACTTAAAGAAACATGTGCATATGCGTGTAAAGTTTGTTATGCCCTATCCTGAAGTGTAGAATGATGACCTGCCCTTGCCAATCGAGTATGTGATAGTCATCTCTGGCCAGATTTTGTTTAGTTCTGATAGACCCTCATAATATTTTGTCATAAATTGTGCTGTAAAGGTGATCAGCTATCTCCCCATATTTGTTTATTCTTTGAGTCCCAGAAGATCATAACTGATGCCCAAATCTGGCAGTTAAGACAGTGACAAAATCATTGATAGACTACATCTACAGTAACTAAATACACATTCCTTGCAGGAGAGATGTCTGCTGTTGGGCATTTTACTTTGCCCTGTCTAAACATAAAATGTACAAGTATAATCACATTTTGACTGCTGCATGTGAGAAAATGCAGTCAGACATAATACCTTGTTTGGGACCAAAGAAGTAAATGAAATTCATAGTAGTTTATTACAAAACTGTGTGAGAACGCTGAAAACATGAAAGCTTTAATATAACTATTATCTTTATACTCTAGAATTGGCTTTTAACGCATAAGGCAAGTGACCTCCTTTGATACCAGTCTGCTGTTGTTCTGCCTCTAGTATCCAGTGTTATTTTACATTCCTTCTTTTCCTTTTCTACAGTTCTTCTCTAGGTTTCTTCAGGCCGTCCACATCTTTTTTTCATTAACCATCCATGCTAAAGTGTCCCAAACATGTCTAATCCCACTTGCATCCTTAAAACTTTAATAAATACTGGTGTTTGCAGTATAAACATGAACTAAAACAGCTACTAATAAATTACAAACATTCACTGACAGGTACCTGCATATACTAGACTGTGTTTCTCAACATTTTTACATCCACAGGTCCCCAATATGGGGAAAATTATTTTGTGGGGCCCGCCCGACATCTAACCAAGCACAGAAACAAATGTAGATGGCAGTTTACTTGTTAAATCTGAGGTAAGAAAATCATATTTCAGCTAATGGGATATCTGCTGCTATTTAGAGGTTGAATGTTGAATTAAGAATCAACATCATAACACACAGGACACTCCCATAAGCACTCTGTTCTCATCTTGAGCAGCAAGTGAAGAGTTCCAATTCTGAAGACACCAGTAACTGTCTGTGTATCCAACTCACCTTTCTCTTGACTGTTGAGCGTCGGCCAGATCCCCTGGTAATTCTCCGCAGTGCCATTCTCTTCGGACCGTCACAATCTATTTGTGCTTCTGCACTGTTCATTGTACTGTTGCTTAAAGGTTACAAAAATCTAATATATGAGGGTGAAATTTTTTTCTGATAGACGAACCCCTGTAATAACAATCAGTTCGTATCTCAGGGGGATTAACTGATATGGCTGAGAATGTATTTTCACACAATTAGGAAGACAAAAAGAATCTGACAGCTCTATACCTCAGATCTAGATATCTTTTTTCAAGTGAAATTCAAAATTCAGACAGTGATTGTTTGGACACATGCCTGACATCAGAAGCCAAGTCGATCAGCTTTTCTTTTTCATGATAATTAAAGTTTTCAGCTAATGTCATTAAATGTTGACCTGTTATGTTGAATATCACTTGTCACTGGTTGATTCTCATCCTTGAGCTGCTAATCCTACATACTGCAATTCTTGAGCTGCTAATCCTACATACTGCAATCCTTAAGCTGCTAATCCTACATACTGCAATCCTTGAGGAGAAAACCTATCTATCCGACACCGTTACAGGATTAGACAGACATTTTTGGCAGCTCACCTGGACTCTTACACGGAGCACCAGTTGAAGAACACTGTACCAGACTATATGAAATCAAATGGTATGACAGAATCACTAATGTGGAGCTGAGGGAGAGAACTGAATATATTCTAATAAATCAGCGGATGAGGATCCCAGTGTGTATTCTGGGGGGGTAGAAAAACAAAAGGGGGGGGGGAATAGATCCACGGATGTATGTGCAGAAACTTGGAGAACTTAAATAATTACTAATTACAAAAATTAACTGGTGCCTGCGCAGAGGTTTGAACAATGGATCAACATCATGGCACACGGGTAGTAACCCATAAGTGCTCCGTTCTTCCTCTAACTCAAGTCTGAGTCTTAAGAAGCTCAGCACAGTGCACAGGCTCTGTAGCACTGGCGAGGATCCTGAAATACATTGGGTAGATTTTTAACTCAAAATTGTGCCTGGGCAGCGCTGTTAGGCTACTCTTTTCAATTTCCAACTGCCAAGGGATTTTTTACGTGCACAACAATGCACGCAGATGTCCCATCACACTCCTAAGGACCAGGGGGAATTATTAGAAGTCCAAGTCCACGTGAAAAAAAATCCCAGCCCTTAGCGGGGATCGAACCTCATACCTCAGGACATTGCAGCCCCCTTGCCTGCACAGAACAAAGGGAACTAAATGGTATGATAGAGTAATAAATGTAGAGCTCCAGGGAAGAACTAAACAAATTCTAATTAATCGAGAAGCGAAGTGAAGATGCTGGTTCTGGATAGGACGCACAATGAGAAAACCTGAGACTAATATAACTTGAATTGATTTACTGTGGAAACCCACAGGGCCAAAGCAACAAAGGGTGACTTGATGGCTCACTATGAAGAGAATCTTATTTTTCACGTTCAGTTTCATATGCTCAGATCAGACCATCAGGTGGGTTGCCTCTATGAACTCGCATGTCAGTAGCAGGTCCTTGATGGTTACCCATAGCTTGCTTTGCACACTTTGCTCTTGAGGCCAGGTGTCTTTTCAAAGTTGTAAGTAGAGTGGGCAGATCTGCAGAATGTGCTGGGGTGTCTGTGGTCCTGTTTGACAGGCACACTGTGGGGACAGTACACTCTTTATTTTATGCATGTGGTAGTTAAGCCTGCAGTGTCCTGTTCGTAGATGGAAAATTGTTGTATGTTGCTTTCTGTTGAGTCTGCTGATGGGGTCTTGTTGATGTTTATGAAGAGAATCAGAATAAAGAATGAATAATTTGGAGATGGCATAGAGTGAAAGCTGCAGGAGATAATAAAATATAAGAAGATAAAGGAACGAAGAAGAAAAGAAAGTGTAAACAAGGGAGACGATGGTAGTGGAGTATCCAATATACTCAGTTCTGGTTTTATAAAAAAAAAAGAAACCAGCTGCTTTCTCACTGTACGATCTTCCTAGAGTGTGTCCAGAAAAATATGGCACATACTTAACAATCTTTTTTTTTCTTCACTTTCTAAGCGGAGGTCTATTTGAGATTTGCATGTCAACCATAAAAATCCACATGACTGAGGATTTGAACTCAAGACATGAAGTAGTCTTAGCAGTTAAAAAAAAAGGTTTCAAACATTTTATAAATATATACGTATAGTATTTACACCTTATGCTTCTTCCAGGGAAATAAATAACACATAATAAACATATAACATAATGGCCACTGTTAAGAGAATTCCTCCTTTTCAAAAACGAGTTTGACTGCTTCTAACACGTTTGGGACTACATGACTGGGTGTTGTCAGTGTGGGGTCAATCACAAAGTCTCTATGATTGTGCGAGAACAACTTGTTACTGGAAACTGTCACAAAGCCGGTGTTTGTATTGAAAACTCCTGTACACACTAAGATGCTCTCACAACTATGAGCTTTTTCTACCCCTGATGTGTCCTCCTCCAGAGATCTGATCACCCGAAGGTTTGCACCGGAGTGACTCTGAAACATCAGCGTGTCCTCAGATTCATCTTCTTCGTCCTCGTCAAGAAAATCAGCATGTGCCTGAGGTGTGGCCGCGATGCGCAGTTTCTTTCCTTGCACCTGGCCATTTATATGTTTTCTCCGTTGTAGGTATCTGTTGTACAGGTTTCCTCCGTATATATCCGTCTCTGGGTTGTCTCTGAAAAAATCAATAGAATTCCTGTCATATACGTACAATACAGTAAATATTGAATATGTAAATGTATATTGTAAAAAAGCAAAAGACCCCTTTTTCACCCCTCCAAGAATACTGGGTATATAGTGCTAAAGAGCAGCCTTTACTTGGTACTCATTTAAGGCTAGGTTGATCTAAGAGTCAAGGTCATGTTTGGAAAAAAAAAATATGGTTTCAAGTAAATTTGATGCCACAACCATTGGGTCCGCACGCAAGCATCTAGCCGCCACATCATGGTGGCTACCCAATGCATACGTATTTTACAGTTAAAATCCTAAACAACTAATAATTACAGTCTGCAAAATTTAAAATGCCAAACACATACTAGAAACATGTTTTCTACACGCAGTACAAAAATCCCGGGTTTGGCCTGCTGGCATTCCAATGGAAACTGATCAGTTTGGATCAGTAAAGGACATGTATCGCACCTATGGCTTGATTTGCACTTGAAGAGATCCTATGCCATATAAAGCCCTGATACCCTTGCCAATGCCATTGTAAATTGCACCGGCCAATCTAAGAATACTTTAAAATATATACGCTATTTAAATACATGGATAATGGAAACAAACTGACGTTACACTGACGTTTTACTATTTCTGGATTTTAAATTAAAAATATATTACACAAAAACTTGCATTTAAAATATATTAAAAGAACTAAAATTGAAAAAAAAAAAAAATGCCCAGCCCAAAGTTGTAGTTTATTTAACTGGTACCTAAATCTAGTACTGATCAAACTACAACCTTTATCGAGGCCTGTGACCTTCTGGTGTGAAAACTACTGGCATGAAGAATAAAAAGAAGAAGAATAATACATAATAACTTACCCTACACAATAGATAGTACGTATATGATCTATTCCGAGGAGCTTTGCCTGTTGCGTCAAAAGAAAATCAGCGTAATGATACGTCAGCTCACTGGGTTTGCCTATCAGGGCTGTGTACTTCATTTCCTTGCCCGTAATTTTCTGTGGACAAAAAAATATATTGAAGGAATTAAATACACTGAAAAATTTTGAGGAGCGCCAGGATGGATGATTTTAATGCTATGCTTTCACATGAGAGACTTGGACTCTACTGCTTTGTAAAGTGATAGATATCTTCTTTTTTTTTCCGGCAGAACTGACTGACGGACTTTCTACCCAACCAGGACATCACACAAGCGATAAAAACCCGATGACAAAAGTGCCACCATGTGGATTGAGGATCGCCGTGGAGAGGTCCCAGAAACCGCGTTCAGACAATTGGCCATATTTATGGCCTGCCTATATTGCGGCCCCTGGCAAAAGCCAGGGTGGGGCTTCAAATAACAAAAATTTGTGTCCTAAAAAGGACGAAACTGGATCACTAAGTGAGTATGATTCCGGCAGAAGCAAAAATAAACATTTTAACCTGTACAGCCTAAGGCAATTGTACAAGACATGTGCTCCTAAATCCTCAGAACCCTACACCCCCCCTCCCCCCAACCACCATCTCCCTCCCCAAATTGCATCGCTAAAATAAAAAAGTAGTGCTGTAGACTTTCTTTTCGGAAAAAAAAACACAGTTTGTTTGGAGTTTCTTTGACATATCAATAACTGCCCTTGTACAGTTTTCATGGAGTTTCTTTGATATTTCACTAACTGTCATTGCAAGCTAAAGATTTAGTTATATGTTCAAAGATGATGAGAAACAGCAAGTGTCATTGGAGATCCATAATTTGGGTGAGCCGTCTTCAGTTTGCCATGATGTTTTGTATACTCAATACAACACAAACTGCGATTATACGAGAGCTTTAAATTAAAACCTTTAAAGTGTGATACACATTACAGCAGCCATGCCATTATCTTGTAACCTGTCAATACTGTTAAGGTGTCAAGAGTGTTAAGCACATGACATCACAGTACAGAGGAAGACAGTGACATGATAATGAGTTTAAAGATGGCCTTTCCACTCCTGATTTGCATCAATGAGGAGCATGGTTCATTTTTCCATTTTTTAATCAGTGAAGGGATGAAACCTATAGAAATTCATCGGCGAATGAAGGTCAACTATAGTGATACATGCATTCCAGGCCAGCATGTGTATGAGTGGAGTAGGAAGTTTCAAAGCATCGTTACTTCTGAGACAGACTGTTCATGACAAGATTAGGCACACAAGCAGCGATCCAAAAATCAATTTCAACTGTTGAAGGCCTTGTACAGAAAAACCACTGAATGAGAAAGAAGCGCAAAAACACAACCAAATGTTTATACACAACACAAATTGTGATTACAAAAGCTGTTAACAGCCGAGGTCAAAACGGAAGCATCAATAATTAACAGGAGAAAATACTGACATGGTACCAGGATGGATGTCCTGGGGAAGTAAAGATGGCCGGCGTAATGCTGACCACATTACCCACATAGTGCCAAAGATCTGTAAAAATATAGGTGCTCTTCCTATATGCCTGATGCGCCTAAGGCGTAAAAAGGGATTTTTACTGTTTACTTAGTTGTGTATATATATATACACTTTCACATCTATCCCCCCCCCCTTTTTCCAAAACAGATGTGCTCACAAAACTCAACTTCTGGAAGGAAACCAATGTCCAGAAGTGGACAAACAGCCACAGCTTTCGGCAGGAGCCTACAATTAGTGAACACTAAGAAGCTAGAAGTGACAAGTTGTGATTACATTTATTCATTGAAGGGAAATTAGTTAAAGATCAGATGGATTCTGTGCTTGTGGCAGTGGCAATAAGTAAATATTCTACATGCTAAAACAGATCAAAGTCATGTAAAAAAAGTAAAGGACCCTTTTCCACGCCTTTAGGCGTATAGGGCATATAGGACATATAGGGCTAGACCTATATGTTTATAGACCAATCAGCACAAGATGGGTGATGTGGTCAGCATCACGTCGGATCAAAGTCATGACTATGAGTAAATGTTCCATTGACTGAAGGATCTCAATCTAATGTAAGGGAAACAAATATATGTAAATACACAAACCTTTTTAAGTAAAAGCTTTTTTTCCATTCACTTACCTGGTACAAACCTTCCAGAGCACTCATAAAACAGCCATGACCCAACCTTAAAAAGAAAACAACACCAATTGTCACAGGCATCAACACTGAAAAAAAAACGGTAATACATTCTGTTCTTGTACTTTGATCCAAACCTTTGTGGCAGTAATTTGTACAGCTGGTACATTTCTTCAATGACCGCTCTAGCTGATAAAGCCCAGATCTGCCCAGCTAAATACATCCGGATCTCTCTATAGCCCAGCTCAAATCCGCTGGATAAATCTAGATCCCTCGTGCTGTCTACATTCAGGAGCTCCCCACCCACTGTCTACAGCCAGGTCCCTGCCGCTGTCTACATCCAGGTCCCTCCACTGTCTACATCCAGGTCCCTGCCGCTGTCTACATCCAGGTCCCTCCACTGTCTACATCCAGGTCCCTCCACTGTCTACATCCAGGTCCCTCCACTGTCTACATCCAGGTCCCTCCACTGTCTACATCCAGGTCCCTCCACTGTCTACATCCAGGTCCCTCCACAGTCTACATCCAGATCTCTCTACTGTCTACATCCAGGTCCCTCCACAGCCTACATCCAGGTCCATGCCACTGTCCACATCCAGGTCCGTCCACAGTCTACATCCAGGTCCATGCCACTGTCCACATCCAGGTCCCTCCACAGTCTACATCCAGGTCCATGCCACTGTCCACATCCAGGTCTCTCCACAGCCTACATCCAGGTCCCTGCCACTGTCTACATCCAGGTTCCTCCACTGTCTACATCCAGGTCCCCCAACTGTCTACATCCAGGTTCCTCCACTGTCTACATCCAGGTCCCTCCACTGTCCACATCCAGGTCCCTCCACTGTCTACATCCAGGTCCATGCCACTGTCCACATCCAGGTCCCTCCACTGTCCACATCCAGGTCTCTCCACAGCCTACATCCAGGTCCCTGCCACTGTCTACATCCAGGTTCCTCCACTGTCTACACCCAGGTCCCTCCACTGTCTTCATCCAGGTCCCTCCACGGCCTACACCCAGGTCCCTCCACTGTCTACATCCAGATCCCTCCACTGTCTACATCCAGGTCCCTCCACTGCCTACATCCAGATCCTTGCCACTGTCTATATCCAGGTCCTCCACAGCCTACATCCAGATCCTTGCCACTGTCTACATCCAGATCCTTGCCACTATCTACATCCAGATCCATGCCACTGTCTACATCCAGGTCTCCCTGCTGTCTACATCTAGACCCTGCTATCTGTTTCAAAATCCCTTGAGTGGTCTATATGCAGATCACCCCAACTGTTCATATCTGGTTTCTTCCAGTCCGACTGTATATGTACAGATCCCTCTAGTTAATAATGTCCAGATTTATCCATCTGCTTAGTACCATTACGTTCTGTAACCCAAATATGCTAACACCACTATGTGCTGTAACCCCTAGGTGCTGTAATCCCTAGGCGCTGTAACTACTATGTGATGTAACCACTATGTGATTAACTACTATGCGCTGTAACCACTGTGTGCTGTAAACACTATGTGCTGTAACCCCTATGTGCTGTAACCACTATGTGCTGTAACCACTATGTGCTGTAACCACTATGCGCTGTAACCACTATGTGCTGTAACCACTATGTGCTGTAACCACTATGCGCTGTAACCCCTATGTGCTGTAACCACTATGTGCTGTAACCACTATGTGCTGTAACCACTATGCGCTGTAACCCCTATGCGCTGTAAACAATATGCGCCGTAACCAATATGCGCTGTAACCCCTATGTGCTGTAACCCCTATGTGCTGTAACCCCTATGCGCTGTAACCCCTATGTGCTGTAACCACTATGTGCTGTAACCAATATGTGTTGAAACCACTATGTGCTGTAACCCCTATGTGCTGTAACCCCTATGTGCTGTAACCCCTATGTGCTGTAACCCCTGTAAACCCCACTATGTGCTGTAACCCCTGTAACCCCTATGTGCTGTAACCCCTATGTGCTGTAACCCCTATGTGCTGTAACCCCTATGTGCTGTAACCCCTATGTGCTGTAACCACTATGTGCTGTAACCCCTATGTGCTGTAACCCCTATGTGCTGTAACCCCTATGTGCTGTAACCCCTATGTGCTGTAACCCCTATGTGCTGTAACCCCTATGTGCTGTAACCCCTATGTGCTGTAACCCCTATGTGCTGTAACCCCTATGTGCTGTAACCCCTATGTGCTGTAACCCCTATGTGCTGTAACCCCTATGTGCTGTAACCACTATGTGCTGTAACCCCTATGTGCTGTAACCCCTATGTGCTGTAACCACTATGTGCTGTAACCCCTATGTGCTGTAACCACTATGTACTGTAACCCCTATGTACTGTAACCACTATGTGCTGTAACCACTATGTACTGTAACCCCTATGAAATGTAACCACTATGTACTGTAACCCCTATGTACTGTAACCCCTATGTGCTGTAACCCCTATGTGCTGTAACCCCTATGAGCTATAACCCCTTTGCGCTGTAACCCCTATGTACTGTAACCACTATGTGCTGTAACCACTATGCGCGGTAACCCCTATACACGGTAACCCCTATGTGCTCTAACCAACCAATATATATGTAATTATCTGTTAAAGCTACTGTGTACTCTTGCCACAGTATGATGTAGTAATTATGTGTTATAAACACTCTGTAGCTTGTAACAAACTGTAAATCTATAAACTATAAACAACAATAACATGCTAGTGGAAATTTTTTGACAGTGGAAATATTTTTTTTCATACGAATAGTTAAGTAGTTCTTACATTTCAGCGACAGACAAAAGCGGTGGGAAATTGGCCGATAATTTGGTCTTATATAATCTAGATAGGTAAACACGAACGGGCGGTCAATGACCTTGCCGGCATGCATCTGCAGCGTTGTGGAGGCAACAAAGCCGGCGCGCAGCCACCACGTACTTTTTTTTAAAATTAACCCCAAACAAAGGGAATCTAAGAGTTCGCAATATTCTATGGGTCTTATGGGTTGTTGTTGTTCATATAATGAGTGTGCGAAATAGTCTACGTGCACCGTGAGACGGGCAAATTCTGCAACTTTGTGTGAACGCTTTGTGCAACCAGGGAGTAAGAATTTTGTTATTTGGAGAGGGAAAAAGAGGGGGGGGGGAGACATTCTGGTGGGCCAGGTCAAATATGCGTGCCTATAAATGGCAGAAACAACGTCGCTGCTGTTCCATCTGCAACATCTTATGTTTAGAGAAAAGTGGGGTAAACATGGCGTCTCTAATAGTTTTATTGTGCTTCAACTCTAGCTTTGATTTCCGGTTTTAGATCAATGGTTCTTGTTCGTTGAAGCCACACTTCCTTCAAAACGAAATACAATAGTTTTTAAATTACTGAATTTCCTCAGTGAAGTGGACTGAAGTGTTGTTTATTATATGGTTTTGTTTCCGTGAGCGCGTTTATTACATGAAGCACTGGCCCGCCATTGTTACGACTGATACCACCAAATTCCCTGCTGCTGAGGGAACACTCGTCCCATCTGATTGTTCTCGCCTTGTAAAAAGGCTCTAATCTATCTCGACTGCTGTCTTTGGTTCTCCGATTACTGGAGGATTTAGTAATAGTCTGCTGGCACACACATCTTCGCGAAGGTAATATTATTATATTTAAGCTGTTGGTGTCGGTGGACGAACACCCCCAACTCTGACAAAATGAAATGCCTGTCAACTCTCTTGAGACCAGTAGTATAATGTGTCTGTAAGCCAGACCCACGCCAGCCTTGTAGCCATGTGCCTTCTCTGAAAAAAAGGGGGAAGGGGGGGGGGGGGGTTCCTGCCGACGACAGTTCAAATGCTGTCGATATCTCCATCGTCGGTCCAGGCGTTCGTTCACTCAGCGACAACACCATGGACAGTATTGCTGCAACAGCGTCAGACACAATGTTAGATGCCATGGTGCTGCAGAAAAGCAACGCCACTGTGTCTGTCATGGACCAATGCTGGCAGCTAGATCAAGGACAATTCATGACGGACGAAGACAGAACCATCGCTGTTTCGAAACACAGCCGAGCTAGGAAAGATACACACATCTCGAAATAAACACTGCGGCCAATTGACACCTCTAGAACACTGGACTGTTCCTGGGAACTCAGTAATGTCCTCAGTGTGTAGTGAATAAAAAATAAAATTCCTATATATGTAAGGGCGGGGATCAAAAACTTAAGCCTTATTGAAGTGTGCATTACCAATATTAATAATAATGTGAATATTGAGTGTTGAATTAAGAATCGTTATCACAGCATTCCTGACATTTCCATAAGCGCTTCGTCTCCATCTTCAGCAACAAGCGAAGTGTTCCAATTCCAATGACACTAGTAACTGTCTGTATATTCCTCTGGCCTGTCCCCTGGAGTGCTAAGCGTCGGCTAGATCCCTTGGTAACTCCTCGCAGCGCCATTCTTTATTACTATTGTTATGTATTTAATAATAATAATAATAGGATGAATGGTAAATAAATTGTGAATTGGGGGGCATACTATTTCAAAAAAACAAATGTGGAGATGTAAATCGCTTTCCATTTGTATCAAAATCTGTTTTAGTCTTCAGGCAGGGACAGTTTTTCGCTGCCTGACAATACTCAGATCGTTAAAAACCGCTTTTGTTTGAAGACTTGAAACAGTAAATGAAACTGACGAGATGACAGTTTTTGCTCCGGGACATTAAAAGCACAAATTGAAAGCCGCCACAACAGCTTTGAAACAGACATGGGAGAAAAAAAAAAAACATGGTAGGGCTATGATATATTAGACACAGAATTTCAATACTAATCAAATATGAGGCAAGCCCCACCCACCCACACACATACCTATCCACATACAACGCACGCGCACACACTTACATAAACGTGTGCGCGCGCGCACACACGGTTTTTTAAGATGCTGCCTTTTCAAAAACAATTTGGTACTATTGCTTAAACCCCCCCCCCCCCCCCCCCGGCGCAGTATTTTGCATTTTGTTTATTACAGTAACATAGTTTGTTGTTCTAGGGCCAAGCGTGTTTGCTTGCACGTACACCACAGT